CCCCCCCCCCCCAAAAAAAAAAAAAAAAAGAGGGGGGTCCAAAGGTTTTTTATTGTCACAGCATCAGATTGCTAAAAGGGAATTTTTTTATTGAGATTAGTTTTTGAGATAAACTTTGATTGGTTAACCTTGAATATTACAATTCATATGTTTGTGCATAATATTAACAGTTCAGGTAACCATAGTGACAGAAGCTGTTACCATGGTGAATGTCGGGGTATATTTATCAATTCTCAACATTTCATGACAGAGTAAAAAAAGTGTTCTCACATGATATTAGTTTTGGTTGATAGACCTTGAATGTTTATTTACCCATTTAGGTAACCATAGAGATAGAGGCTGTTACCATGGTGAACATGGGGGTACATTTTTTAATTCACAACATTTCATGAAAGAGTAAAAAAAAATTGCATGATATTCATTTGAATTTATAAACCTTGAATGTATATTTACCCATTTAGGTAACCATAGTGACAGAAGCTGATCTCCATGAGGAAGTTGTTACGGCAGACAGAGAAAAAGCTGACATAGAAGATGGTGAGATACAGTTACATTTCATTGATATAAGTATTCAGTGCAATTTGAACATGACATGAAATTACAGTCACATTTAGTAAATTTGTTTGAAATAGCATAATTTTAAGTATAATTTTTTTCAATTTTCAGACAAATTTGAAAACTTTCATGGTCATTAGTCTCCAATGCAACATGTTTTGTGTTTGACCAAAATTATATGTAAACTGTGCTAAAGTAAGTGTAAAAATCAACTTGTGACATACAGTATTTCAGTGATGAGTACTTCACATTTATTAATTTATAATATACATAGATGTCTCACTTCACAGTTTATATATATATATATATATATATATATATATATATATATATATATATATATATATATATTGTCCAATTTAGGAATGAAAGAAAATATTTGCCAAAGTCCCCCACCAGAAGTAAACACAAAAATTAGGAACTGTGAATATCAAAATACATGTGCCCGGCTGAAGATAATACTGGGTTTGCCAGGTACGTGCTTTGCAGTTCTTAATGCTGCTGCTTGGACAGTTATTTCTCTTTTATTATAAATTATAATTATTATTTTTATTTATAATTATGAATATTTCAACCTAATATATGTATACAAATATGTTCTTTATAATTTAGATGGCTACATAAGCTATATATTTATATGTTCTTTATAATCCAGATGGTTACTTTAGTCCTGAACATAACATGTGTTACTGCGAGACTTGCCACAAGATACGCGGAGATGAATCGTACTACAAACGTGGTGACCCACCCAAAGACTACGCTGTGCCATTTGGTTGGTGCCGTTTTGCCTTAAAGTAAGACGGGTGTTATAATGAAATGTTCATTGCTGAACTAAATGAGATTTGACTAAATTTGAAGAAGAGTAACAGTGAGTGAAGATGTATGAAACATTAAAAGCAGCAAGGCATTAGGAATAGCAGTTGTAAAAAACTGCCTCAACTTAAATACATTCCATTGGTTAATAACGGAAGGTTGTCATTAACCCCATGAAAATCAATTTCTTATTTGGCCAAATGAACAGTTATCCCCATAAGTTAGCTTATTTCTGACCTATCCAGAAAAGTGCACAAATAGATGACGTCACATTTTATAGAAAGAAAAAAGTAATTACCAGTAAGATAGTCTATTATAAATTCAATTCTTCATATAGTCCCCTTTAGTGTCTTATACATGTGATATCATCAGTGTATTTACCTGCTATAAATAAACATGATAAAGATTTGACGGAAGCCTCAATATTTCCATTCTATCCCAGGGTTCCTCATCGCGCCCAGGTGCTGAATGTGTTTGAGAAGTGGCACATAGCATTTCATGGGACGAGGTTTGACTGTGTTCGCAGGATTCTAGATTGCGGGGATCTTCTCATGCCAGGTAGGTGTTACTAAGGCTTCGTTCACATGGAAAGTCTATTTTCTAAAAATTATTTTCTATTCGTGGTATATCTTGTGATCACAGTCTGTGCCCTGAATATCCTGCAGCGTAATTACTGGCAGCGCGAGCCAGTTACTTCCAAAGCTGCGGGATTTTCAGGGCACAGACCGTGATCATAAGATACCACGAATAGAAAATAGATTTTTAGAAAATAGACTTTCCATGTGAACGAAGCCTAAGTGATTATCATGTCTAAAGATGTATAGTCTTGTTAAGGTGCATTACCATTTGCTATTAATGTAGTTTTTTTTCTGTTAGTATATTGTAAATTGATTTTACACAATGTTTTTATAATTCCAAAAAAGTGCCCTTTTGGCAAGTGTTAGTCTTAACTTAATTACTTACACTCAAAATACATCTTTGCAGTAAGACATGAAATTAATTCTCATCCATGCAAAATGCCCATAAATAAGTTGAAGAACTTAACTGCCTTCGGCCCAAACCAAAAGATGTCTTTCTTCAATTTCAGTCAGATAAGATAAAAAAATTGACAGCAACCCTCACACACACACACACACACTTAATGAATCTTATGCCAATACACCTCTTACTTCTGACTTCACTCAAGTGTGTGTGAGAACAGAACACTTCCACAGTGACTCAGCTTTATACCAAGTAAACTTTATTATATATATTCACAATGGTGAACTGGTTGTATTATATATTATAACAATGGTGAACTGGTTGTATTATATATTATAACAATGGTGAACTGGTTGTATTATCTATTATCACAATGGTGAACTGGTTGTATTATATATTATAACAATGGTGAACTGGTTGTATTATCTATTATCACAATGGTGAACTGGTTGTATTATATATTATAACAATGGTGAACTGGTTGTATTATATATTATCACAATGGTGAACTGGTTGTATTATATATTATAACAATGGTGAACTGGTTGTATTATATATTATCACAATGGTGAACTGGTTGTATTATATATTATAACAATGGTGAACTGGTTGTATTATATATTATCACAATGGTGAACTGGTTGTATTATATATTATAACAATGGTGAACTGGTTGTATTATATATTATCACAATGGTGAACTGGTTGTATTATATATTATAACAATGGTGAACTGGTTGTATTATATATTATCACAATGGTGAACTGGTTGTATTATATATTATAACAATGGTGAACTGGTTGTATTATATATTATCACAATGGTGAACTGGTTGTATTATATATTATAACAATGGTGAACTGGTTGTATTATATATTATCACAATGGTGAACTGGTTGTATTATATATTATAACAATGGTGAACTGGTTGTATTATATATTATCACAATGGTGAACTGGTTGTATTATATATTATAACAATGGTGAACTGGTTGTATTATATATTATCACAATGGTGAACTGGTTGTATTATATATTATAACAATGGTGAACTGGTTGTATTATCTATTATCACAATGGTGAACTGGTTGTATTATATATTATAACAATGGTGAACTGGTTGTATTATATATTATAACAATGGTGAACTGGTTGTATTATCTATTATAACAATGGTGAAGTGGTCGTATTATCTATTATCACAATGGTGAACTGGTTGTATTATATATTATCACAATGGTGAACTGGTTGTTTTCTCTGCCACAGGAGATCTTGCCATGGGTGGACACCAGCTGGCGACACAGCCAGGACATTTTAACGAGAACAAGAAACCAGACGGGTTTGACATCAAGCAGATATTCCTGTCTCCAACTATAAGATACTCTGGGTGCCAAACCTATGCCCCAAAGTGCCAGTGAGTAGTATAGAAAGTAGTGCAGACCTGCTTTGTAATTGGGTGACACCTTTTGTGTATAATTTAAATTTGGTGTTGGTGTTTGTAATATTTTATAGAAATTGACAAGATAATTTATTTTGTGCATTGTTATTTTCTTTTTGTCTGTACATTTGACAGCTTTGCTGCCTCGATTTTTTTTTTTTTTTAGTTTATCAGCATTTTTGATGTGCCCTATGTCATACATGTATATCTGCATTGCAGTTTAGCTTTTAGTAAAGTAATATATAAATGCAATTCCTTTATCATCTCCCTTTTAATGTACAAGTAAGCATACTTTATGCTAATTAGATAATTAATAGTGCCACTGTGTAGTGTGTCATCAAAATATGCATGTATTTATTTTTTTTAAATATATTTAATTATATATTTCCAATACTTTATCAGATTTAGAGACCCGAAGACAAAGAAGCTTCTCAGCGCCAGGGTAGCATTCCAAGTTCACGTGAAACCCGGCTCTTACAAGGTGGCGCCACAAACAATAGGAGCTAATGAACAGATTGATCCCAAACTAAGTAATAATGAACTTGAGTGGTCGACGAAGGAGAGAGGATCTATTGTGCTCTACGGACTTCTGATCAAGGTGGAGCAGTGACAGTGGCTCCATCTATTGTATTAATACAATACTCATTTCAAGCATTAGTTAAGTTGAGGGTGTTTGTTAGGGGCAGAAGGGTTCTAGAGACTCTCGTTCTTATAGAACAAGCATGATTCAGGCTGGCCATAGAAAGTATTACTATAGATGAAATTAAATTATGGAATTTTTTGCCACTCTAAGCAGTAGCACTTTAATACTTGCATACAATTCTTTGGGTTGAGAAGGTCAATTTGGTCCTTCAAGACATAATGTTTGTCTTAGCCACTGCTTTGTTTAATATAGAATGGGAGATATCATTTCAAACTTCAGGGCTTTGGAAGCCTATTAGTACTGATGGAAGTATTTAATATAAAACAGCATTGGTATGTATAATCACCCACTTAAATTAGGGGCAGGTTCCACAAAATATCTTATGCCCAAAAATTGGTCAAAGTTCTAGGCCAAAAGTTTGGTCTAGTTCTGTTCAAGCTTAATCCAAAGTAGTTCACATAAGTAGATTTTGTTCTGTTCTAATTATATCCTTCATTTCATAGAATAATATTTTAAGATGGCTATCATTGATATATTTTATAAAATTTCAGGTAGTTTGAAATTTTGGTTTCCAAATTTACACCAGTTTTGGGTTGAAGTTGTCTTGTGCAGCAGGTGCAGTGGAGGCTGTGTGCCAGATATTGTAGTTATGATAAAGTTGTCAGGATATTTATTGATGGTGCTATATAGATAATGAAATGGTGAAAACATTTTATTTGAGATTTGCTGGGGGTGGGGTCTTGGGGATGACAAAATAATTACAAACTGCCTCTAATCATTCAAATGAAGATATATTTATTATATTACATTGTACACTTGGTTGGCAGATTGCTTGATTTTCGTCTTGTTTCATATTATTTATTTATTTATTTTTATTTATTATTATTATTTATTTTTTTTCTTTTTGTCTCAGAATAATTTCTGATCCTCTAGATGTGTACAATAAAAAATTTGGTTTGAAGTTCTAGAATTTGAAATAAGAAAATAGTGTAATAAATCCTTGAGCCATGTGATGAGGATTCTGGGATAAGGCATTGTGGGATAGCTGCATCCGCCAAGGAAGTTATGATGTTTACCTTTGTAAGGCTAGTGAAACTACTGTCAATCATGGCCTAATTGTGTAAAATGTTTGTAAAATTGTGTCCAAACTCTGTGTATTAAGTTATTGAATCATTTGACACTGTGGCAATTCGTAAGCGCTTCATTCATGTATATTGTGAAATCGATGTCAATTCTCATTATTACAGTAACAGACGCGTGCATTCTTTGGTAAGCTGAGATCAATATGAAAGAGACAAAGAAAAACAGCACAGTTTGTTTGCTGTTTGCAATATTTCAATCATTCTTTCACCTTTGAGTTCAATGGTACCTGAAGGCAGATGTCTTATGGCATCAAGTTAACAGATATGATGTGAGGTTCAAGTTAAAAAGGAACCGCAGGTCGACTATGTGCTTGTAGTGCAAGAATTTAAAGATGCCAAATTTGTAGAATTGTGACATTTGTAGAATTACGAATATTTCAGTACACTTTGTTGTTGTAACTCTGTACAAATGTCTCTCTCTGTTTATAAAATAAAATGTTTCCAATTGTTTCCTTGCACATGTTTTACGTTTAACCGAACCTGTTATTGTATGTTTGTTGGTACAATATATCAGATCGAGTTAAGCCCACATGGTATTAGAATAAAACATTAATAGTCATTTTAAAAAATACAATCTCCCGCTGAGAACGTTCATATCGTGTGATTCGATCATCATTCTCACAGAAAACTGGGGGAGTAATGTTGGCATCAATAATTCGTCCAACGCTCATATTAAATCGAACAACACAATCATACTTGGATATAAGGCGCTCTTGATCACACCATTCTTCCAGTGTATTAACATACCAGGAAGTACAGTGAAATATGTCCTTATAGTCCAAGAAATTGGTGCAGAAAAAAGGGTGAATTGTGCGTTTTTTACCTACAAGCATGAAATTTGCCACAGTTGTAGATAATGGAATTCTAAGCTTTTTTGGATATATGGGCATGTCTGAAAATTCCAATATGGCCGCCAAATCCAATATGGCCGCCACAAATACTACTTTAAATTAAAACATCTAATATATAGTCCTAAAATGGTTAAGAATATCATTTTATAGCTGGAAAATATCATGCTATGAATGGATTATCAATATCCGCTTCTACAGGTGTTTAGAATTCCAAAATGGCCTCCAAAAGTAAAATAAGCAGTTTACTTACGCAAAATATGCAGCAGTTTTGTAAAATCATCAAGCACTTACAATTACAAGCATAAAAATTGGGACAGTTATGTAGAACATGATTCTAAGCAACGTTGGATATAGGGAAATGTCTGAAAATTCCAATATGGCAGCCAATTTCAATATTGCCCCCAAAATACCCTTTCAAGGTGAAAGTTATTTGTATAGTCTTTTATAAAAATATCATTTAATGGTTAGAAAATACCATTGTATGTATGAAGTATCAGTATCTGCCACTTAAGGTTTTAAAATTCCAAAATGGCCTCCAAAAGTCAGCAGACCACAACTATTGAATTGTAATCACTCGTGAATAGGCATGTGGGCTTTGCAAACTACCTGTATTATCACCATATTCCTACCTGTGCAGGAGCTATTCTACAGAGTTTTTTAAAAACCATCAAGCATGATACATTTATTATGTACTGAAAACAGTCCTTCTTTTGATAAACCAACATAAGTAGTTTGACTTTTTGCTCTGGATTCTCATTTAGATCAATTCCCAGTTAGCAATCTTCTTATATGGCACTCATGAGTGACTCCCCCTTTCTAAGAAAAAAAGTATCGTGCAAAATCCATAAAATGTGAAAGAAACACCAGAATAACATAGCCTTAAAGAGGCAAATATAAAAAACTTGGGGTGTACCAATTTTGTCTGTTGGTTATGATTCTTCAGCTAGATCAGTGCATGGCGCTTCATCAAATGCTCATAAATATAACAAAAATGACAGCTAATCAAACATACAGGTCTCAACAATTTGGTGTTTTTCATTGGTAAAGTACTAAAAGCGGGGCACATTTGCACTCGATAATGTTATGATGTTATCTTGTGCTTCAAAAGTAAATTAGAAAAGCTTCTTATTTAAAAAATTGGCTTTAGTACATTCGCAGTAATGGCTACCGAGAATTTAGTGAAAATTTATGAGCAAAGAAATACCTGTACCCCAAACAGAGGGCAGGTGTTGATACGTGCTGTATCCAAGAGTTGCATTGCAGACTTCACACTTCGTGCACTAAAAAAGAAGCACTGATAGGCGCCAAACTTTGGTTTTCATTTGATCATTTGGCAACTTGTTTAGTTACAAACTTATACTTTCAAAAAACTGAACATGAAAATAAAAGAATTAAAATCCTCCAGACAGTTAATACATACAAAACTTCAAAAAACGATGTATTCTGAGGATTACACCAAGAAATTAGTGCAATATGGACTTTGAAAGGTAAAAATTCATGAGATTTCCGGCATCATTGTCTCTGTGGGACAATCCAGAATGAAGCCATGAGGAGAATTCACTTACCCAGCTTACAAAATCTACCAGGTAGCTCCTACCACATCTGTTTGTAGTTATGTGTGCAGTTGCTAACTGTGGTGAGGGGAGTCAGAAGCATTGGAAGACAATGCTAGGCTAGGGTTCACACTAGTAACCTACATCTACTAATATGCCCTTCCACACTTTCATGTTCCTATGGACCTCATGCATGTAAACTGATGCTTTCTGGTGTTAAAAACGACCAATGCCTCTTGGTATTTTGTTGGGGAAAGTTGATTACATGTAGAAGCTTTAGCTTTAAGGAAATACTGGGAAAGCTGAGGGAAACACAACTACTAGTAAAGCTAGGCACACATTAATGAATGAAAATTATTTAACCAAATAAGTAGAAATTTCGGTGTAGCTAGCTGTTATCCTCTGTTGAGATATTGTCCATTTACTAAAGTAAAAGGTTGACCGCCCATAAAATGTGCAACACTTACTTGATAAAATAACTTTCGTTAATTTGAAACTTATTTGTGAAAATATCTTGACATTTTCGTATCCTTGACATTTATAGAATTGCTGCATGTGGTGTCACAACTAGACCAAAAGGAGTCCTGTTCCATTTTTTATGGTCATTTGGGTCTAAATGTAACTAAAGGAGCGAAAAACCAAAAAAGAGTAAAGACTGTTGTCAGTCAGATTATGTAGTAGTCTTTTTTTACTTTAAAAGGGTTTTAGTGGCCATATTAGAATATACAGACATGTCCCTATATAACAAATTGCTTACAGTAGAATCCTGTTCTGTACAATTGAGCCAATTTTCATGCTTGTAGTTTTAAGTGCATGATGAATTCACCATACTGCTGCTGTGAGTGGCCTGTTTTTCTTATTTTTGGAGGCCATTTTGGATTTCTATACAATTAAAGAATCAAATATTGATACTTCATGCATACCATAGTCTTGTCTAACCATAAAATGTTATCTTAAGTTATTATAGGATTATATATACTTGAAGTTTTTATTTGAACGTGTATTTGTGTCGGCTATATTGGATTTGGGGGCCATATATGGAAATTTTTAGACATGCTCATACATCTAAAAGTGCTTGGAATCCTGTTTTACAACTGTACCAAATGCCATGCTTGTAGTTTTTGATGAATTAACCACTCTGCTGGATATCTTGGATTAGTAGAGTGCTTTTTACTATTGGCGGCCATTTTGGATTTAATACACCTAAAAAAGCAAATATTGATTCTGAATTCATACCGTGGTGTTTTTTAACCTTTGCATGATATTTACGCCCTTAAAAGACTATATACTTGAAGTTTTAATTAGAAGCCGTATTTTTGGAGGCCATCTTGGATTTGAAGGCCATTTTTACATTTTCGGATATGCCCATATATCCAAACTTGCTCAGAATTTCATTTTCCACAAACCTGCCAAATTTTATGCTTGTAGTTTTAAGTGCTTGATGAATTCCCCATTCAAATGGATATCTTGAATAAATGGTCTGCTTTTTTTACTTTTGGCAGCCATTTTGGATTTAATACACCTGAAGGATCCATACCATGGTGTTTTCTTGTTATATGATATTCTAAGTCATTAGAAGACTATGTACTTGAAGTTTTAATTTGAAAAGGTATTTTGGTGGCCATATTGGATTTGACGGCCATTTTGGAATTTTCAGACATGCCCATATATCCAAATTTGCTTAGAATTTTATTGTCCATAAGTGTGCCAAATTTCATGCTTGTAGGTAAAAAATGCACAATTTTTCACCAATTTCCTGGACTATTATAAATGAGTAAGTACATACATAATAAATAGCAATCCTGTTGAAGTTCTTGAAATGACGGGTAAACTCGTCTTCACTGAAAATGGAATTAAAGCCCCTCGAAGACCAAATAATGGTGAAGGGGTGAACCTGACCTTGCAGACCACTTTCCAGCAGTTTCAAAAAAAGGGGGGGGGGGGGTCTATTTCTGAAAAAGTGGACGTTTTACCAAGAAACCTATGTGTACTTGGGTACAAGTTTACCATGCAGAGGGGACCTTTTCCCGACAAAAAGGGGCTTCTCTCGAACCCACCAAACAGCCCTGGCCACGGACCTGCTTTGTTAGAATTTACAGAGGTCCAAAGGTTACTGTACGCTGACCTTCATTTCCCACATTTAGCTAGAGGTATTCCAGTAATATGAAATACTCAGGGTGTCAAACGTGGGCTGGTTCTAATGTCATTCAAGTTACACACACTGGACAATAGAAGTGTCACCCCCTAAATCAGTGTAATAAAAGTAGGCAGATCTTGGGTAGTTATAATGCCTGGTCTAATTATAATGTGACTAATGAGTATAAAACCGCTATACATGTACCATGGAATTGTATTGTTGGTCTTGTACATGTACAGCAAATGTTATCCCTGTCTTCCTCCAATATGGCAAGATACAGGCAATTATCTAACGGTTATAGGTGCAAGTTATTAACCTGAAGAGGCGGAATATAAGCAATGTCAGAATATCGATACAATTGAATTGTTCAGTCAGAGCCGTGCAGAGGGTCTGGTCTCGGTACAGAAACACTGGACAAATTGCCTCTGATGGGCCGTCCAAGAAAAACTGCTGGCCGTGAAGACCGACGACTGATTTTGATGTCCAGGTTGTCAAAGTTCGACACTGCTTGTCAGTTGACAGCACAGTGGAACAATTTCACACATAAGAATGTGTCTGTGAAAATTGCTAGGCGTCGGTTACATGCTCAGAGAGTGAACAGCAGGGTAGCAAGACTGAAACCTCTTATATCGTTACAAAACAGGCAACGTAGAGTGAACTAGGGACAACAGGATCTGGAACTGGACAGTCCATGACAATTGGTCCTGTATATTTTTTTTCTGATAAGTGTCGCTTTTGTCTGGCCTCTAATGACAGACGGGTACGATGCTGGCGAACTGCTGGTAAAGCATTTGAACCACATGCACTGAATTTTCGAACCCTGAGCAGCATATTCATCATGGTGTGGGGCTGCATCAGCATCCATGGCGTGGGCAAATTGATAGTGGTTGATGGAAACATGAATCAC